TGGATTGGGGACGCTCAATCCACGTGCCTGCGCTGTACAGAGTGAAGCTGATGTCAGTTCTGAAGATGCTTGCCATGATTGCAGTAGGCTACGAGTGTAGGAATATGTGCTATGAAAAGAAGTGATGTAACGAACTGCACAAACAGCATCCATCTAAGTCACGATGACTGGTCTGCAAGTGTGTGTGTGTGTGCGCGCGTGCGTGTGTGTGTGTGTGTTTTAATGTGGCGCTGGTGGACTGTGATCATTGTGCTTGTGTGTACTATCGGATATTAGCGCGAGCCGGAGCCCGCCGTCCTCACTATGAGTCGGATCCACGAGCATACCATGACGAGCAATGACGAAGCATGCGGGGTCGAAACTAACGCCTTCGCTGAAACAGTGCCGACCCGAAGGATGTACTGCTGTAACTTTGCAGTTGGCTGGTGTTGCTCCGCCAGGGTTCTGGGAGTGCGGATGCCGTGAACAATACCTGGAAAGCAGGAGGAGTGGGCACCAGAGCATCAGGGCGACTGGCTTGCCAATTGATGTTTCATCCATCCAACCAGCAGAAGCTGTTACTTGGGCCGCATAGCCGCCCTCAGCGACCTGGATCCATCGTCCTTCTCGCTTGGAAAGACATCTCACAGCACTGTGGATTGGCAATGCGTGTAGACAGGGTTTGTGATGGGATGTTGACGGCTGTTCTTGAAGGTTGCAGAACTGATCTCGAGTTATCACTATAACGTCTACTCCACACCGCGATGCCAAGCATGGAATGGCTCCTGGTACTGACGGAATGTTTCGGGAGTGTAGAGAGCTTCCGTTCAGGTCTTGCTGCCTCAACAATGCATCAAGAGACCCAAACAGCATCACGTGTGCCAACAACGAGCATATCTGGCTCGGGACTAGGTTCCCGCAGAGGTGGGTTGAACATGTAAGTTGTAAATCGTGCGTTGAGTCGCAGACTGCGGCCAGCTGCATTTTGTAATACTTTGTCATTTGGGTGGAACAATTGCAGTCAGCGGTCGGCCAGCCACCTTGTCTGTCTGCTTGACTACATCCGTCGGCATGTGGAATTCAGCTGAGCGAGATGGTCGAATTTGGTCGTCAAATTGGGTCCAGAAACGACGGGACCGGGACCAGAATCGACGAGCGCCAGACTTTCACGACGTTCAGCTTCAGCAGCTCCGAATTTGATTTCGCAGCACATGCTTTGCATTACTTTGTTGTTTCCTTTGTCGTTTGATAGTGGCGATGCTGCCATGCACAACGTGTCGATCTCAATCTCTTCACCACCACTCCAAGCGGTTCTGAAAAATGGAGCGAAGAGATATCTGCCACGGCCTCCAAGCCCGAGTCAAAGCCCTCCGAGGTCCAGTGCGCCCAGATGCGCCCAGCGTGACCCCCCCTGCCCCTGCTAGGACTTCTTCCGCTGTGAGGATTCACTGTGCATCCCACTGACCGCATGAGTGAACAACAACATGTCAATGCTTCCGAGTTGGGCACAAAACCTGAGTGAACGCACAGCAAAGGACGTGAATCTGACAGACCTGGCACTCATATCATCCTGGCCGCTTCGCCTTGTCCAGCTTGAGTCGTGCCACACGTGTACCATCTCATGCAGCAGCACTGATACCGTCCTGCATAGCTTCCAGGATTCATGCTTTGTAGGCTGTCCAAACGAAACATCGGTGCTGTTTGCCTAACCTGTCCAGGCACCTGAACCCACAGAGCCTGGAACAAAACCTCAACCCAGGAGTCCAGGAGCCTGCATGCCACGGGCGCAGCCTGTTTGCGTGCTGCCCAAAAAATGATTTCTCTTGTTACGAGTCTCATCATCGCACTGATCGATTTCTTCGAGCATGGCTTTCCAACGAAAAAACTGAACTCCACCTTCGTGTTTGTAAATCTCGACTAATGGGAATTCATCCTGTGGGACATTGGCTGGGGCTTCCTCAGCAGTAGAAGCTTTAGCACTGGATAATACTTCCCATGAGCCCATCCTGGCAAATTCCTTCGGGGTATTACCAGGGCTGATTCCTCAGAGATCCTGGTTTAAGTTTCATGATTCATTCGCGCGAGTACAGCTTTACTAAACTTTGCCAGTGGAAGGGCGTCCTCGAGACTCCTGACTGGAGCTTTAACTGCATGCTCTTTGCTTCATGCGTCGCTATCTCCCATCCCATCGAGTACCCAAGCCCGCACGAGATTACGAAGAGGACGGTGCAGATGCATGGCTGTCCTCATAAGGGTCCACGACTTGCAGCATGGCCATACGAATTCGATCCACAACCTGGGCCAGGTCAAGAAAAGACGAATCGCTAGACTGCACTGGGGTCACGGCATTGCTGATGTGAAATCACCGGAAAACTCACAGCGCACGGCGGCCTCGGGTGCAACCAACCACTGCGTGAGCCCTGTCGGCGGCAGCCGAGCCGCCTCAGCCCCTTCTGCGGCATCCAGCGATCCTGGCCAAGGCCGCAGGCATTCATCTTCTACCGACTTGGCTGTGAGTTGTGTGGAAAGCGCCGCACTTAGCAGATCTTACCATGTGCCTGGCACTGAAGCACGAAAGCGAATGTCATCGACCTCGTCAAGGTCGTGCAGGCTTGATGGCCCCCGTCCATCAAGTGCACTGTTCAGCATGTCTTCTCGTAGCTGGTCTTGTTGTTTTCAACAGTCACCCCTGCCTGCAGCTGCCCGTGGAAGAACAATGCATTGAAGAAGGAGAAGCTTTGCCACATCTGCGCCAACAATGCCCGGTCTGTGTCCAGTATGTGTGGACACAACCTTGAGGTGATGCGAGCGGCATGGAGTCTAAGGTCACAGCCACATTCTGCCTTTCCACATCGGCAAGATCCTTCAAACAGTCTCGTGACAGCTTAATGATCTCAAGTAGGCATTATTTAAAGGCCAGGGACAGGGCCGATCGGAGCTACGCTGCTACACCGCCCGACACGTCCTGAAGGCAGAGTTGCGAGTGATCCACCAGCACGGGTGGTACCTTCAATGGCGAGGCATTGAGGTACTGTCTTACCATCTCTTCAGTCCGAGGTAGAGCACTCTGGTTGCACATCGAACTTCGGGACGCTGTGCAATGGGCGGAGCTCCGTGGATGGCCAACCATTCCAGCCTAATTTGGTGGCGATTTGACAAAGCCTGTTGCCCCCTATTCTGCTGTCCGTGCTGCCACGTTTGCTTTTCCTTCGTCGCGACAATATATTCACAACAGTCTTGGCGTCGGCATAAACTGGCGCATTAGAGTGCCATTGTTGTCGCATTCTTTCTGTTCAGCGCCAGGCACAGAGCCAGTGCACGCTGTTGCCCCGCACCGTCTCCATCGGTGTCCCTTGTGTATCCATGTAAATGTCGCAAGGCCGCTGCCGCGAAAAACAATTGCACCCCAGAATTCTGACGTGGACGTTGAAGCCATCAAATGCGGTCTTGCAGTAACAAATCTAACTATCAACAACAGAAATAGATGCGCAATTTCCAAGGCAGTAGTGGAAGAACAAACCCAAGCTCCCGCCCAAATGATTGCAGCTCCATTACAGCCAGGCGAGTGTCTGTCACGACACCAAACTTTGAAACTAAAACCCCTCATTGGCAAACAATCCCGGGAGGCTTTCGTACACGATGGTATCTCAGGATTTGCCCACCAAGCCACTTCACTGTCGCACACAGTCTTGGAACAGCGTCCGTGAAATCGCAGCATAAAGCCGACTCAGGCACGGACCGGGAAATCTCAAAAGCTGCTTCCAATACTGGCCAGTCCGAAAGCCTTATCATGGTCTGAGCCGAAGCTCATGGCTGAATTTCAACAAAAGGCGCATGCTAGTCCGGGAAGCGCACCGATCTGATCGAAGAAGGCAAAGATCTCGCCTGCAGTCAGCCGCTTGGCACGGTGAACAAAAGTCAAAGCTGCCGCGGCTTGCTCTCAAACAGTGAAGCCAATCGTTCAGCAGTTCACTAAGTTCTCACCGCTTCTCAGTCGCAAGCCAGGATGTCCTTCGAAGAGCAGGGCTTCTCGGCACACAGGCTCGATATAGAATGCGCCGGGCTGCCTGCAGATTCGTTGCCATGCTACAAACCGACTCTGGAACATACGAGTTTCTTGGACATTCCCTCGCGTGCCCTCGCTGCAAGCAGAAGTAATCCAAGGCAGAGGAGAACGATCAGAAGATGCGGATCCTCAGCAACACATCACGGCACATGTCAGACAACCTCTGTAAGTCTTCTGATGCTTGATGCTGAGATGCCAGCCATTTGGACCCAGAAACATCCCTAGCAAACCGGCCTGCTGCAGGGTGGAATTGCACTCGAACATGCTGTTGTAACTTAAAGATCAATCATGAGATTCCACCGTTGCTGCTGCATGACACTGCCGAGGCACCATGACATCATCCGTCACCTGCCAGGTCCAGTTGAAAGCGATGACCTGTCTTCCAACTGTAACTCTTCATAAGTCGCTACGAAGAGCTTGAAGTCAGCGCGCGATGTCTCTGTGCCTCCATGAAGCACGGCCATTTTGGCTCGCTCTGGCACTCAAGGCGATAGGAGCTTCTACGAGGCTGCGGTATGCAAAGAAACAGCGGAAGCTCTCACGGCACCCTCAAAGCGCCGCAACATCAAGCAGCATAAGAAGACGATTTCCCGAGTTTGTGCTCGAGCTACGGCATGTTCTGTCGCGGTTGGCTGCGACAGCTCCAAGACTCTCTGGTTTGCCCAAGCTGCCCATTGAATCGCCGGTGCAGGCCGAGACCAGACTGTGTCCTGCTCCGTGCTCGCCGCAAGGACAACCGAGCCGGCACAGCGTAGCCGCAGAGCCAGTGGCTTTGCGCAGTGCGCCGTGCGCCGAAATCCGCCGGACTCGACTCTTAGAGTCTTCCGTGTTCTGCCGTTTCTCACGCTTCTGACGACTTCGCCTCCTGTCACGTCTCACGTTTTGTTCCTTGGGCCGTCACGGCGTCACAGTGAAAACGAGACCGTAAACACTGGCATTGTCCTAAAAAGGCCCTGGCGATGCCGGATTCCACAGATTGGTGCCTTGGAATGATACGGGCACTGCAACAATCACAGACCGAAAAGGGCAACAACATTTTTTTCTGGTCTGCTCGCCGTCTGAGTCCAGTGCGTATCTCTGCATTCTCTTGAATGTTGGTTGTTGCTCGCCCTCCTTGTGTAACCTCACGCTGTGACAGCTAGGCAACAATGGCAACAGGGCAGGAACAGCCTAGCCACACTGAGGGGTAAGCAGTTGTAGCAACAACTGAGCGACTGCTCACATAGTATGTGCCCTGAACAGGTGAATGCCGCAAAACTGCACAAGCCTTGCCGTCGACGTTTTTCTTGCAGACCCACAAGAAAAAATGCATCGGTGCAGACACTTCAATGCACGAAAAAAACGATCGGAAGTGCAACGGCCTCAGTCCCAAAAAGGTTCATTTCGAGCACGAATCTTCCGAGCCACAAAGCTAGCAACCTGGCATTGCCATGCAAAAGCCGGCTGCAGACAGGGGCCCGGGCGGGTCACAATCTGCCGGTTTTGCAGAGACAGAACCTGTCCAAAGGCATTGCCTGTGCTCGCGACAGGACAGGAGAAAACCATCATGGAGAATTAACACCCTTGAATCGGGGGGCGGGTGTCGCGCAATTTCGCCAGGCATGGACGGAGGGGCCTTATGAAGCTTTCTACGAAATACCCGTACCAACGGAGCGGCAGCCTGCGACATCAGAAAGGATCCGGAACTATGTACAGCGACAGCACTGCTTCAGAAATCATTCGGTTTCCGAAATTGAGTCCGCATTCGCCTTTCGCGGCTGATGCAAAGTGAGGCAAATGAGCAAGCACTTCCACAGTAGCCGAGTGGGAGCTTGTTCGCGGCTTCACCGTTTTACCCCTCTCGACATCCACGCACTTTTGTGTACTGTGGTTTCTCCGGGTCACAGCCTGCCGTCACTTACGTAAGACAAGACGTGACAAGATGCGTTCGCTGGCAGCATGCAAGAGTAGATGTGTCCAGTTCCTGATCCCGGCTTGGACAGCCATTCAAGGACCTGTAATGACAAAACATGACTTGGCTGCAGCATGAGAGACCGCAAACGCAAGCTGCTGCAAGCTGCGGACCTTCCAGAACTGACTGCCGCTCTTCTTCAAACTCAAAATCATACTTTCCAGCTGGGCACTTGAACAACCGACGCAAAAGCCCCCATTCACTTAAAATCCTAAAAGGATCCCCCGCAGGCAGGCAGTGCAGCGTCGGTGTGGGCTTCGGTAACCGGATGATACATGATGATACCTGACACATTGAAGTTCCCATCATGGTAATTAGAGGTGCTAATTAGAAAAGCTGGGCCGGGGGCCGTATTGGGCGTTTCCAGTAACTGCGCGACTTCGTTCGCGGTTTAGCGCTTCTCAATGGAAATGCAATCGTCCGCAACACTCATACAGCTTGACCTGTTTCACCGGTTCGGAGCCGCACGCTAGCTAGCACATCCAAACCCACCACCCGACTAGCACCACCAAAGCACCAGCAGTACGAAGCAGCGTTGCAAAGCACGCTAGCAGAAGACGAACTCTTCTTTTTAGTGGTGTGGTCAGTATCAGGTCACCCGAGAGGATTACTTTTTGGCTAGCATCCTCCGTATCGGGGCGGGTTGGGTGGGAACGCGACAATTTAGCTCCTTGCACAGGGAGGACTATCGAGCATAATTTCCAAGGAATAGACCATTCCGAACAAGGGCTTTATCAGCTCTATCAGCAATGGGGCAGGGCTTCTTGAGGAATCTAAGGAGGCCAGCCTAAGGGCCTAAGAGGTCAAGCACATGAGCTGACTCGCAAAAGGCACCGTGTTCAATTCCCACAACTGCTTTTTCACGCGCCGTCAATTTTTAAAAATCAGATTGGCTGATTTTGGAGCCCTAAAATCAGATGTTTGGGTTCGGAAATCCAGGGCATCCTCAAGTCCGGAAAGGTTTTCTCTGGATTAACAACAACATGCAATTGAAACTTAAGAAATCGAGGGTACCCATCACCTACAAATATCTGTTTACTACGCGGCGCTGTCTCTGTAGGTGGAAGAATCCATTGAGTGCGAAGCTGTCCTTTGTTCAGTCTCGTGGCTGTGATCTGCCACCGCAGAACTAGTTGCAGCACACAGGCACTCACTCAATCAGTCCATGCAACTGCTCTCGAAAAGGGTCCGGGACATCCCACACAAGCCCATTGCAATGTACGCTCAGCCGGCATTGTTCCAGTGGACAGAATCTGAGACATTATGAGATCATCCCGTAGAGTCCTATAGCTCAGCAAGAGACAGGAAGAAGGTGCGAAATGTATATCAACTTAGAACCTGCAGAATCAACATCAACTTTTGCGGCCGGAACCAACAAAACAGAACCTTAGCTTTTGTGGTTGGGTTGTGTTCTGCCCTGCAACTCCTTCAACATTTCATGAGCTTAGGATACAAGCGCTCGGTGTTGTGAAACAAGCCTAGCACAGCGTGGCTCTTTTTGAATGCGTATGTATGTGCCGGAACACACAGGGCCCCAGCAGTGCACGAGCCATTTATGCCGCTCCTCCGACACGCTCTAGAAAGTCTTTCCTTGTGAGAATTCCGCAAAGCTTGCAACCACCTCGGACAACGGGCAAATGCCTCAAACCCATCGTTCGAAACAGCACGTAGGCACGGCGGACAGTAGCAGTGTCTTCAATGGTGTAGGCTCCGGCATTTATGTACGGGTTCAGATCCACTTCTGTCTGTGGCCCAAGCAAAGAACTTCCGCGCGAAGGCATAGCTTCGGATTGGTCCAAAGGGCAGCTAACTCTCTGCAACAGCTTCAACAAAGCTGAACGGCTAAGCATTCCGCAGTACTGCGATGTACCTGGTTCTACCACGGGGAAAGCATTGTGTGAGGTCTCCAAGATACGCTCCAAGCGAGTCACGCTTTCTACGCTGCCAACAGTTGCAACATCGGCAGTCATTATGCGGGACACCAGGGCATGGCTCCCATGTGCGGCATCAGCAGGTAAGAATGGGATGTGCTTTAGCTGTATGTGGATATCATAAATCCCTTCGTTGAAAAGATTCCCGACACTGCGCGCAACAATGACTGCAAAAAGAATCGGCAGGCTGTACTGCGTGTTCCCCGTAGCCTCAATCAGAATGACGCCCAAGGACACCGTGATACGGGCCATTCCCGCTAAGGTCGCTCCTGCACCCACAAGTGCATACATTCCCGGTGGTGCAACTCTGCTACTGAGCAGCTGCAGACTTTGTCCAACGAGGCGCCCAAGCACGGCACCAACGAGGAGAGAAGGCACAAAGAGCCCACTTGGAACGCCGAGGCCGTAGGTCCAACAAGCCAGCAGAAAATAGATGATTCCGAAGAGGCTGAGCAGTCCAGGGTCATACATATGCGGATCGTGAAACAGGACTTTTATGGCATCCTCGCTGGGTGTTACAAACAGACCGAGGCCGGTTCGGCCAGCTAAGGTGTCCTTGCAAATTAAGTCAAGTTCACCAGGCTTGTGGGATCCGTGCTCCACACCCGTGACGTAGCACTTCCGTGAGAGCATGGCGGGTACGAAGAACACTGCAGCGATGCAAGCAGATACCAGCAGCACTTCCAGAAACCGAGTCCAACCTGAAGCCCTGACTCGGCGTATTCGCCAGAGTGTTAATGGAATGTTCAGCGCATTGAAGCCGGCCCCGACGAGGCCACCAAGAAGTCCGAGAGTCACAAAGAACGGCAGCTCCCAAATGTGATAACTCGTCTTTGCACCCTCGAAATAATCACCAAAGGTGAGGACTCCAAGTGCACCAAGCGTGCCAAATCCAATCGAGTCGAAGCCCCCTAAAAACAAGGTCAAAGTCAGGGCAGACGCAGACGAGCAAAGCAAAGCCTGCAGAAGGACCGTTCCGTTCCAAAATGATGAGCCCTCCTCCAAGGCAAAGAGCATTCCACCTATCGGAGCACCAAAAGCGGCGGCCACTCCTCGGAAGGGCAAAGAGCCAATGTCTGCGCTCACTTCTAAGTATTTGAGAAACCGATGCAGACTGGCCTCACCTCACGTCTCCGCTATGCAAGCTTAAATTTCAGAGGTGTGGCAACATCACAAGGTCAACCTAGTAACCATAACTGGCCCTTCAGAGATAATTCAATGGCACTGATGCCAGACAAGACCCTCTTGAACCAGGCCTGCTGCACCACCGGCTGTAATCAAATCTCGTAGTTCAATATCTCGGAGCATGTTGGACCCCAAGACAACGTACTGTGAGAACAATGCCCCGATAATTGCACCGCTGTGAATCATGGGACCCTCCTTGCCACAAGGGAGCCCCGCAGAAACACTGAAAAGGACCCCGCAGGCCTTCGCCAGAAGTGTCCGTGATTTCACAACAAGTGGTAAATCTATCCCGTTCAACCGACATTTGACTTCAGGAATGCCGCTGCCAGCTGCCAGAGGTGAGACAAAACAGACCAGAGCTCCAGCTATAGAAGCAAGGCAGGTGCAGAACACAACATGAATAACCATCAGCAGCCACGGCCTTGTCCCTGCTTTGACCAGGTCTTCCATTAAGCCGAATCGGAATTTTGTAAAGAATTCAATGCCATAGTCAATTGCAGATGCCACCAAGCCAGTGACAATCCCTATCAGAATCACTGCTACCCACTTCGCTACAATCCGACATGCGGATGTCTGCCTGCTGTCCGATGCACTTTCATAAACGTCGAAATCGATAGATTCCACCGTGGGCCTTGCTCCTGTTGGGTGTGGTGCCAATGCCATACTCGACTTGGGTCGTCCCTGTGCTGGGCTGGTGGCATGGCGAAATACCTTCGCACATCCAGGTTTGGGCCTTGCGTAAACGGCTGAGTACGCACAGCTGACATATGCACAGGTTAGCACAACAAAAACCTGCCACTCCCCTCCGCAGCCCAAGGCAGAAGGCTGAGCCTTTCCCGATGCGGTAAAGCAGCACTATAATAACTAGCCCCGAAAGAAGCAGTCATGGTAATAGCAAGGGATTCAACGACGATGCTGGTGATGATAATCGGCCTTTGCCCGCACTTCATTCAGCAATGAAGACAAATAACCAGTCAACCAGCCTTCGTCTTCTTGACTTCGGCGGATGTCCACAGCCGGCTTGCGAGGTCCAGGTTTGGAACGACCACCTCGCTTGCAGACTTCCAATATCCTATGCGCGACTTGCAAGGCAGAGCACATGAGTCACATGAGCGTTAGTTACATCGGGTTAAAGTGGCTTACACTGAATTGCTGTGGGTTGCCTTGAAGACGTCCGAGTCCTCGTGCACGTGCATTGCTGCCTGTCGCAACCGGCACAATCATCACGAGTCATTCCAGACAGCTGGATGATGCAGTAGCCTTTGATGGCCTTTTTGCAGGCTCCGGAGCACGGTCAATGACTCCACGTAAAGTACAAAACGACAATACTCTGACTGATCTGTTCTGTCAATGCGATCCAGTTGCATGTACCAGGCAATTGTGCAGGCCCGCGGGAAAGTGCAACTCAGCAGGATGCAGGTGCAACACCGGCCATATGGAGAAGTCCTTCTGCAAAGAACCAAACGTGGTTGTGATTGAAGACCAGGAATGCATATCGGCACAAAGTTCGTTGCTACATGTAGTTTTATCGGTCCGTGATTGTGTGCCGGTGTCTGGTTGAAGCTGCCGGCCTGGCTTGACCGCGTTCCTGTTCTGACATGCCCGCCGGATTTGTCACGATCAGGCGCAACCTCACCTGGCAAAAGTTGGACTGGCACGTTCAACCTGAGGATTCGTGCGCTGCCTGTGTCCTAGCGTCCTGGTAGCCGTCGTGCTCTGTGGGGACCCTACACAAGGATTTCACAAGTTGAAAGCGTCGTCCCTGTGGCAGCTCGTCGATGCACTAGGGCAACTGTTCCAAGCGAGAATCGATCCTTCATGTGCTGGGTTAAGCCGAGATTGGATTGTGTGGAAGACAAGATACAAGATGAGCACAGTGCAGTGCCGGCGCAAGTCTTGATCAGGAAATCACTCGTCTCGGCCGAATATGGGTTACGTCGTCGCTCTGGTCACGTGCTCTGGCCTGGGGCAATTGAGCATAGTTGAGCGCTGCCGGTGTATTAGCCCGGGCGAAAAGCTTCTATATTGGGAGGCGAAAACCTCCCATCGTTGCCTACCATTCTAGTGCTTCTGCTGTCGACCGCACGGTTGTGCGCATCCACGCCCGTCCGTGCGCCACTTGGATGGCACTTTACCCACCGGCTGGATAAGAAACTTGCATTCCTGGCTGTCCCCAGCCCTGGCTGGCAAAGTGTGCATGCTGGCGGCGTTTGCACGTGCTAAGCATACTCGAGAGGGTTGGAAACGATTGACCAACCGGGCCATTCCATCAACTCCAACTGGTGGCGAAGCTCTTCAATCCCACAGGAAAGGGCCAGGTCTCAGTATCAAGTCGACAAGGGTAAGACCAGTGCCGAGACGACACTGCCACGGTGCCTTCCCTGCCCTCTCTGAAACCCTCCGATGTCGGCCGCATCGGCTTCGAGAGCTCTCTCGGAGCGAATCGCGACAAGAATCTGCTGGCGCGTGCACGGAGACTCAAGAAGCTGCCGCCGGGTCACCATCCTCAGCATTTCCACCTTTCTGCTGTGGGGATGGATCTCCATGGTATTCTTACGAGCTGAGTCTAAACCTGCACGCTGCTCGGCAAGCTGCCTCGAATGGTACAGGGCAAGTCAGAAGGCACACTTGCATCACAGACCCCTCATGACACAAGCAAAGCCAGATGCTTAGCCAAACCAGGGCTCAACCCAGCAAGGAAAATGTCATGTTGCAACCCTCAAGTACAAGTACCATGCCTTCTGCCAGTAGTCCGAGTGCCTGCTGTGCACGAAAAGCTGATTGCAGGTGAGAGGATAGGAATGCTGAAAGCAAGGCTCTCACTGGATCGTTGTCCGAGTCCTTTCGACGGACGCGCCGAACCTTGGAGATTCGCGTGTTCCTCCAAGGATTGTTGCAGATCGCTGCCCTCAACCAGTAGCTTTCGTATCCTGCGAGCCTCAAGTGCCATTTGCTCGTGAAGCGCTCTCGCTCTGGGCCGGTTGAAACATGTCGGGCGGGGTGAAAGCAACACCTGGCAGGAGGACGTCTATCCGGCATCCACGTCCGCGAGACAACTTGCCGTCTAGAGTCCAGCTAGGACTTGAGACTTGACATGACCAGCCTTGCAGAAGGCAAGCACGAACGGCCTCGTAGTGTCATAACGAGACCAGGCACTCGCACACATCCGCACGGCGCGCATATACCCGCCTGGAGCTGGTTCTGTGAAGACCATTGATTGGCACGAAACGGATTTCTCTGAATGCCGGAATCAGGCCCAAGCCCGGTGTGAAGCCAAAGAATGCTGGAAATTGGTGAAAGCTTTCAAATGCTCATTGCTGTGCAAGCTGCTCTGCTTTTGAAAGTGAGGCCGGCGAAGTGAGAGTCTTTTTAGCGAACTGCAGCTCACAGTCCTGTGCAGTACGCATTCGGGAGGAGGCCGTGGACGCCTTTTTGCACTTGGTTGTGCTTCGGTCACGCAGGCGCGGGAGTTCCACAGCGCACTAGGAAGTTGCAGGGCTGGGAGAGATGACTCACTTGACCTGCGCGCTTCAAGGAAAAGAGATCCCAAACTTCTGGATTCATGGCAAGCCTCCTCCTTTTCCTTCTTTGCTTCATCCTTTTTGTCTTTGTCCTTCCCATGCCGACGACATGTGTCTGACATGCAGAACTGAGATGTTCGAAGTGGTGGTTGCAATCCTTTGGCTCCGCAGCTTTTTCCTGCCAATTCAGCACTTCCGAGCATTAGCTGAAGGTGAGGTTCGCCTGCCTTCTGCTGCTTGTTCCTCATCTTGTTGTTGATCAGGTTGTGGAGCGCAACAGTCGATCGAAGCATGCTACCAAGGTACAGCGCCAACCTGAGCAATTTGATATTTATCTCTGCCTCTCGCACCGCATGCCACTGCTTTGAGCTCTAGTTTGAGTTTCGGACATCATGTCGTTTGTTTCGGTCGCGAGAGATCTGACTAGTTCTTCGGAGTCCTGACATCTTGACAGCATGTGCTGATTGCTCCGATGAGCTGTTCACCTTGGCAGTAGGGTTCCGGCTTAGGAATGTACCTGTAACCCTGAGCATGTGCGCCTGATCCGGCATCAGATTGAAAATCTCCTGCAGTTGGTAAATGATTTCCTGCAGGCAGCAGGGACAGCTTGAAGTCTCGAGTCGAGAGTCACATGCCAGCCACAGCCAGTCTCCTGGTTCATGGGCAACTTTCCAGCTACCACTTGGCTCAGGTACTGTGAGATCTCGCGAAGTCGCATGGCCAAACCCTGGCAGCTCCACTGTTTGCGGCCGGGGGCCTCCTGCATATGCATTAGCCACAGCTGTGCCTTCAGGGCGCCAATCTTGTCACCCACGCGTACAGCCAAAGTAGAAGCCGACCTGATCGACAGAACGCGATGCGTAGGTGAACACAGAGCGCGAGAGCCTGCGAGAGTAGTCCAAGTCCAAGTTCTTCACGCATTCTTGATATCACGCAGCAGGTGCTCGACGCCAACTTCTTCAGCCTGCCGCATGACCATCTCAGTGAAACCATAAACCATGGGACCATGTGCCAGTGGCCTCGAAGGCACCGACGGTAGAGTGCACATGCAGAAACGTCCGCTTGAACACCTTTCCAATGTTGACGCCCTTGTCATCACTTTTTTTGGGCTCCACTTGTCACGCGAAACAGCCTGTCATGTTGCAGCAAGACCGGCGCCTCATCCGAGGTCTGCTCTTGGACGGAGTAGTAGGCTTCCATGGGCAGCTCCAGGTCCTGAGAGAAGGTCTCTCTCTCTCTCTCTCTACGTCCCCCTGCTCTACCTGTGAGGTCTTGCCTTGGGCTGCACATCCATGACCACCAGCACCGGCTCGGGGCAGTACCTGGTGCGCTTGCTGATGACTTCTGTTGCTTCTTGGAAGGTTGCTCGCGCACCGTCGATAGAGCTCATGGATGCTGAGGTCAGAGGGCTTAATCTTTGGTCCTGTTGAGTACCACCCCACGATTCGCTCTTTGGTGTTCACCTTGAACAGGTTGTCTCTGTGAGAGGGCCCACGCAAAGCATCATTGCTATGGAGCAGGTTCGGAGGCCTTTTTGAACATTGCGAACATGGCTTCATGATAGTTGTGATCCAGAAACCACACCTCCGGCACGAGGCAAACGGAAGTGAACGAAAGGTGGAAGATGTGATGAGAGCACCCAAGCCTGTGGGTCGCGCGGATCTTCCTCAAAAGGTACTGCAAAGCAGTTGGTAATGTGAAGGCTGTAGTCCGACACCTTCCGAGACGGCTTCCAGTATATGCTCTCAGGCCATCTGACACCTGCAATTCTTCCCCGAAGGGGTTCCTCGGACTTCGGAGACACCCTCGCTCCGCCTCACCCACCAGCGTTCCAACCACTCGCTTGGTTGTGCCCTTCGCAACCTCGTGTGCTTCAGAGGGCCAAGTTGTTGGAAGCTTACAACACTGGACTAGTGAATAAGTTTTTTTAATGGCCATGAGACTCGATTGTAGTGGTCCACCACGCCAAGCAAGACAATGGGGTGCACCACCACATCACGTCTGTCCTGAATGCTTCATGCTGCGAGATTGACGATCTGATATGATATGTCGGTACGTGGCACCAAGACGTTGGAGCACTTGGATAATGCGGAGCCTGCCTTTTTGACTTCTTTCAGCTTCTCGCCATCCTTCTTTTCATCCTTCTCATCCTCTCGAACGCGCATGTCAACAGATATTTGGTAACGCCCTGGCATGCGCACCTTGCTGTCCTTTTTGTCTTCTGCCATGTGGGCGCACGCCGTGCGAAGGCTATTTGGAGAGAAGGCAACACACTTTGATCAACAATCCGAGCGGAAGTAGTGACATCACATGCACAGGCTGAATTCGTCAACACCTCGCGGAATCTCTTACACGTCTGCGCACAGAGCACGCGAGTTTTTCTGGCAACGCGCCTGTTCACGACTCGGAGCTCGAAGTTTGGGTCGTGCTCTAAGCTGGATGCATTTTCACTCTCCGGCTGGCTGACCGCCAATACCTTTCATCACACCCTTAGCCTCGACTAAAGCTCCAACCTCATCGTCGAAGGATGTCTGCCTCAATTGGAAGTTCTTCAGCAAGAAATCACAATCGGAGTGTAGCGTTCCAGCAGCTGATATTAATGCTTTCGCAGCGGAGTCGATGTTGGCTTGATCTGTGGCGGCATCTGCCAAATCGCCCTGAGCCCACACACAAACAGACACAAACCCCACGCATGCAAGAGGAGCAAAGCTCGACAAGTCCCGGGAAAGGAGGCAAGTGCCTGAGCTTTCGTGATGGCAGCCTTCTTGCCTTCGACCTGGTCGGCTGGACGCAGACAGGGGCTCGAATATCATCGAAGCTGCGTGTAGCAGCCGTAGACTCTTCTAGGACATTGAATGCGAAGCGCCACCAACACACTGCGGCCTCTGCACAAGATCTTTTGAGACTTTGATCCAGTTTGGTCGGCTTAGAATCAACAGAAGCTTGAGGGGACGGATGGTGCATTGCTGCAGTGCGACGGTTGGCTTGGGTCTCACACCAGGAGTCACTTTGGTTGCGAATCTCACACTCGCTCGATCTGCGCTGTAAAGTAAATTTGACTTCAATGTGTCTAATCTGACTCATGCCGGCTGCAAGGCCTCCTTCGTTTTCGATGCAACGCTGGCAGTGGTTTCCTTGGCAAGCTTCTCATAATCTGCTTGTGCTGCATTTTCGTCTTTGATCGCCAGCTTCTCGGCAGCCTGGAGAATTCAATTCTGAAATTCACGAGTGTATGCCTAGGACGCCTGCCTCAGCTTGCTGGCTGATGTGCTGCAACATCGCCATGACACCTTTGGATCCTGCGTTCTTCTTGTAGGCACCAAAGCCTTGCGGAGCAGACAGGTCCAGTGCGTCGGAGACATCTCCCTCTTTGCTCTCCTTGCAGGGTTTTTGGGGTTGGCAGCTCTGGAGTCAATGGCAAGCAGATAAGCAAGCAAGCAAGGTCCTCCGAGGTATCTGAAAGCTCAAGAAGGGAAGCTTTGCTGTAGTAGTCCGATAGCACTTTTAGGGCGCCTTTCAACAGCTTTTGCGTCTCACGCTGGTCGTCCACACCACTCTGGAAAGCCTTGTTTTGTTCCTCACGTTCTTGAGCTGCCTTGGCCAGCTCTGTGTTCAGCGTGTCGATTTCTCCTAGAATCTCGTCTTTCTCCGCAGAGGCCTTCTTGATCTTTTCCTCAAGTGTTTCCAGCAGAATGCCGACATCTTCCTTCTTGCGCTCCTGCTTCTCTTGCTGAAGCTTGTTATCGGCCAGCTGATCTTTGCAGAAGTCCCTCTTCTTCATTTCACTGCCCTTCTTTTTCTTTAGTTCCGATATCCTTAATTTGTGAGCTCAGTAGGCAATCAATGCCGATGCATGATACTGCTAAAGATTTCGACAGTCCAAGAAGCATGTCGTCGATGGCCTTAAACACTTCCGCCAAACTGTCCACCCTGGCCCTGAGGGCCAAAGCAGATAAATGAGGGTCGTTGAAGCGATGCGTGACCCGGAAGAAGTTGGACAGGGCGTCACTCGACTCGACACTCCGCAGCGGATGGGAGCGTTGGTCCTGCTGCAGGAAGTTCAACCCTTTCTTCTCAAGTTTGTCGCGGCCGTCCATCAGAACTTGGGTTGCTTGTCCAATCGCCTTGACTTCTTCTCTGCGCGATTTCTGCCTGGCATCCCATTCAGCATCATTGTTCGCACACTTTTGCTTGACGGACTGAAGGAAGTCTTGATCTTCCTTCAATGCCTTTTCTGATTCCGTCTTGTCTCTCTTGTCATGAGCCAGCTTCTCGTCGACAGTTGCCTTCTCCTTCTCTTTGACTCTTATCTGCCCTGCACTGGTCTCAATTTCCTCTGACTTAGCTGTCTGGAGCTTCTGGAAGGCTTCTTTGTTGCCCTCCTCTTCGTCCGAGATTTCTTTGAGGTTCTGCTCGAAAGTCTCCAACATCTGCGAAAGCATGCCGAATATTTCGCCTGCACTTTGACCCGGCTTGAGCAACTGGAGCAAGTCTGCTTCTTTCATGTCCCGCAGGCCAAGCAGCCCAGCTGGCTCAATCTGCTGAGGGTCTGCCCACCTTCACAAAACATGAATTCTGCACATGTCCGAACGACCACAGCTCCTAAAATTTCCTACAGCGGCATTTGGGAATCGAGCCTGTGGCTCTTGGAGAGCATTTGGCGCAATGCAGACTTGACCTGCGAGGCTTTACTTGCTACCTGCAGGAAGGAGGTCGCGCGAGGGGCCGGGTCGTCCTTCTTCAACAAATTCACGGCCTTCCTCACAGCTGCAATTGAATCCTTCAAATCACCAGATTCGGCCTCAAACTCCCCACTCTGCTTCTTGCGTATAGCCGAAGCCTGTTCCAAAGCTTGCTTGTTCTTCTCCTGTTCCTTCTTAAGACTGTCTATCTCTGGCTGCAGCCGCGCAGAAAGGGCAACCCCCTGCTCGATCTCCGCCGAAAGCGAGTCTATTCGAGCTCCACCTTCATCAATGGCCTTTTGCCTGGCTTTTTGCGTTTCTGTGCACCAGCATACCTGAGAATGTCACACCTTGCATGGTCCAACATCCCCTGCTTTGCTCAGAGCCGGACCATCTTGTCATAGATGTCTTCGTCCTTTTTCGCATCAACTTCCAACTGCTTTGCCATGTCCTGTGAAGGCGGCTGAGAAAGGAGAAACGGTAGTTTAACAGGAAGAAGGGCTCTCCTCCAAAAGAGTCACCACTTTGGTGACAGGATCCTTCTTCGAATCCACTCGCAAAGATGCGAGACATTGCAAAGGTGCCCAGATCGAGAAGAATCTCCATGATAACATGGCGCAACTACGTTTCAAGCAGAGGCTGATGCAGACAAAAACCCTGCTCTGCATGACCCGAACATACCCGGACTCTGCACAGACAGCGGAGGCAGTTTTGCACACGAGATTGGTCATAGGCCGGGAGTCATTTGGGAGAGCCACTCTGACCTCACATGCTCCCCCCGCAGATATCCGCAGATTTCGGAAGTTCGCAGGTCCCGGTCTGAGGCTCCTGCTCGATGTCCTTCAGTGTTTTGTTCTTCAGCTTTATGTTGAGAGCGGTCTTGATCAGCCTGGCATACGATCTTACGAACTCCTACGGTGCCCTTTCGGCTATGCCAGCCCGACATTTCAGAGTCCACCGCGCTAGGTGCCTGACATCAAGCGCTGGGAGTGGGAAGGTCTTATGGAATGCACGATGCGACGGCGCAAGCCTGTTTCAGAGTTTGCAGGATTTGCTCAAAGGACTGGTGAAGGAGAGCGTCTTGGTTCAGCCTGGTGGAGTTCGTGCAATAGGCCTGCTAAGCGTCCAGTCAGATTCTGAGGACTGGGCTTCAGCAGCGCCAACGCAATGCGGAAGATAATCTTCACCTCATCCGTGCGGAATTTTGGCAAGTTTCCTACGATGGCGCTCTGTGTCCTTGCCAGGAATCGCACTCCCTCTGCGAGGAAAATGTCCCAAACACGCACAACCGTCGAGAAAGGGAAATTGTAAATGCAAACCTCGGCTGTAGTTTTCGGCTCGGGACTACCAGCCTGACTGCTCTCAGGCTCTGGCAGTCATGAACCATTGGGAGGCATACATGGTCGGCTCAACACCTAGTATACGTGTGCACCAGCGCTGCTCCAAGGCGCGTTGCCGCTTGCCTTGCTCGGCCAGGTGCTCGTAGAGCTGAGGCCTTCGGCACGACTGTGCAGAGAGCTGCTCTACGGCGCGACAAGACGCAGGGAAGCACAACATGCAATCATCAGCAGCCTCAAACAATGTGCGGTGACTTCAGTAGCTTTCTCTTGGTTTGCATGTTGAGGTTTTTGACGCTGCTTGATCTTGCAGGGGACCTACTCAGCTGCAAAGCTGCGAGAGGCTGCGAGATTTGACGTGCCGGGGCAGTGACACGGCTCAGGCCCCCCTGACATCCCTAAAACTTGAACCTTAAAGACACTCCAAAAACTTGCGCAGGTTCGCGCAGCCTCGCAGCTTACCACCCTTTGGCGTTCCCCCGAGGCCCGATCTGTGGTTTTCGTTTTGCTGCGACCCTGCATGCTTGTTTTGAGTCCCGTCGCCGGCATCACTTCTCAACCAATGCCCACCACGACTGGCTTGGACGTCTTGGTCTTCGTCGTTTGCTGCAGGCACTACGGCTGTCAGTGTAACCAATCTGCGATGTCATCGGGGAGAGGGTTCTCTGAGCCTCGAGTTCCTGCAGCAGATCCCCTTCAGTGCGGACCTTGAAGTGAAGCATCCGAATTGCTCTCGTTTCTGCATATGTACGCATGTATGCATGTATGCATGTACGTATGTATGCATGTAGGTATATAGGTAGACGGAATTGATGTACTACAGTGTTACTACAGGTATATAAATACTTATATACGTATTTGTTCGTGCGCAGCTTCGCCATGGACCTGACCGGCATTTTGCATTCAGATTAAAACGTTCCATGTTCTTGTTGAGGTCAACATGCCCAGGCAGGCTCAAACACCCACAAGAGGAAAGAATAATGCCTGATGGACTTCCGTACATGAGACCATTACACTCACTACACAAGGATGACCCTGAAACTGAAACCCGATGAGTACTACCGCGACGGCCAATCTCCCCGCTGCTTTTAATATTTAAGGAGACCTCTGTGTCACACGAAACCATGCCCGGTCAAACTCAATCAAGACATCTCTAATAAAATGAGAAATGGAGGTGAGATGGTGCGGCACGGGGCATGGCCGCCCTCGCTTCATCACCCAAGGCACCTCCGATCCCGTAGGGCCGAAAGATTTGCAGAAGAGCAGGCGAAAAGGGCAGCACGGGAGGGGCGGAAGAGCCAAAGCCGCCAGAAAGCAGTTGAAAGCGGCCAAGCCAAAAACCACACAGTGCTGTCGTGTTCTGACTCTTGGTTCCAACCCTGGCTCTGGACTCTGGGCGTCATGAAAAACCAGCGTGGGCTTACGCGAACGCCATGTCGCAGACCGGCAACTCCTCACACTCGACGCTCCAGCTCTAAGCAAAACACTTCAGCGGCTGAAAGCTCCGACGACCAAGTGCATTCTGCACATGCAGTTTTTGCAATTCGCATCAAGGCCCCCAAGGTTCTCGCAGATTCATCTCCAACAGTCTTTGCAGCTGGAAGAAGTACTTGTTGAGGAGTGGGAGGTTCGGCCTCAAAGGCTGGGTGCTGCAGTGTGTGTTTGCTCGAGTGCCAGGCTCCAGGCATGAAGAGGCCTGCCATGCGATAGTTCTCAAGCAGCGAGATCAGCATGAGAAACGCCTGTCACATAACGCTTGGTAAGACAGCATGCTTGCAGCATATACCATGCAAGGGGTGCATCATCCTCACCCATGTACATCAACAAGACCCCACAGATGAAGCCCATTCCCTGACCTTGGCACCGCTGAACAGTAGGGCAGGCTTGCTTTGCAACTTCTAAGGGCTCGGCAGTACCCAACTTCAGCGTTGAACACTGAATATGCTCGCAGTACGTTCAGCAGCTGCTGTTGACCCAAACCTTGCTTATCCTGAGTGGCCGCACCAGCATCGCCGATTGGCGTCGGTCACAAGCCCAGGCGCAGGCGCGATACAGCACATGCTTGGGGAAAGTTCGATTGATGTCCCGAACCTCGGTGCACGAGAGTTGCAGAGAGAACGTCAGGGAGAGAGAGAGAGAGAGAAGGAGTGGCTTAATTCAGCTGTCCTATCGCACTTGGACCTGCTTCTGCTAAGAAGTCGGTCGTCATGAATGAATTTGAACAGCAGCTCGTGTTCCACTGCAGCGGATATCACCAGAATTTTCACCAGAATCCACGCATCAACAAGGTCTGCAGAAGCGACCAAACGGCGAACCGACGGATATCCCACCCGAGCAGGAACATAAGCTCGCAGCGATGTCGCCCTCACATGGCGCTGCTTCAGCCCGTCTCATCTGTTCGTAGATGTCCTTCGCTGTGTTTCCAATCCGTTTCAAACCAAGCGTACAAGTATCATTGCTGTGACTCTGTGATCCGTTCCGCCACTTGTTTGACACGCGGAAAATGCGAGTGTTTACAAGATTTTCGCAGCTTACCACATTTAATCGGTGCGATGTCTGATGTCGCTTCCCGAACCTCTGAGAGCTTCCTCTGGCGGTGTAACCATGCAATCCGAAAACACAGGTTTCGTGCATTTCCGCGCCTTGCACTACCACAACATCACAATTTAAGTTCTGAAGTTCACGTTTGCCCCTCCCCCAAGTCAGTTCGCCGAGAAAGGAGCGACAGGGGTTCAACCGGTTTTGGCTCTTGAAAGCTCCTGGAAAACATGCGACTGCTCGGAGCAGCAAGAGGGGCTCAGTAAGATGGCAGGGGCCAAAAAGGAACCTTGGGAATCTTTGGAAACGTTGCTGATGCAGCGAGTGTCTCGCTTCAAGGACCATCGGAAAGGAACCCCGCAAGGCCTTGCAAGGGTACTCGTATGCTCCCTCATCTCTGTTCAACAAACACGAATCTTTTGCCGCTGTTCTTTACCGAAATCGTTCTGAAACCAGTTCGGGGCACCTATGAGAGAAACGAGACCAAACCCATCCCTTCACAGACGCGTCGGCACCAATTTCAGTTTGGAGTTTCGACGCTTCGGGGCCAATTCTTCTGAACCTGATACAGCAAGTTTATGCTTGATTGTCTTACATCTTCAACGCCTGGCACGTGTTTGACATGGCTGACGTTGATACGGGCATTTTTCAGGAAAGCCTTAGGCACGCATGGCCCATTGCAGGAAGACCAAATGCTCCAAATTGGCAGCACCATTTGTGATGCTTGGGTTGAAGCCAACCCTCGGCGCAAAACCCTACCCAATGTCTTGTGAAATGGTGCTCGTGTTCCTTTGAAGCTTCTTCTTCTTGCCTTGCCGGCATCAACTTCTATCCACGCAACTGTCACGGGTAGGAAAGTCTGCCCTACCCGGCCGCACAAGCTTTGCAAGACCAAGTGGGGACTATGGCCTTCGAAATCGCGCTGTGTGCCTTCACCCGGCTGGCAGACACACAAGGACGAGTTCTAGCGTTCAAGAGTGCCGAGCAGGTGTGACTACTTTTAGTTGGACAAGCTCAACTGCAAGAACGTATTGGTGCAAGTAAGCACGGATGATCTTCCTTGTCTACTCTTTTGTTCCGGAAGGTGGCGAACAAGAGCATGACGCTAGCCGGATTCTTTGATTCCAGGTGGGAAAGGTGGGAACAAGGAAAAACCAGGCTTCACTCGAATCGCACGCGGGCCTGTGCTGCGAACCTGCCAACAAATTGGCTTGAAAAGCTGCGCCTCTGCAGCATACGTTGGAAGGCGACCAATATTTCCAACTCGAACCTCTCCAGCAGAAGATGACTCTGTCCAAAGGATCAGCACTGGCTCTACAATGTAGCCGAGCTAGACGACGCAATGGCGCGAGAGTGCGCGGCCTACTAGAGAGGTGCCTGTTTCATACCTGTGGGGATGAATAGCCCGACTCGATCAGTAGTCTCATGCTGGCCAAACACCGTGCACGGCATGCCAGCAGCTGCCCATCTGCGAAAGCAGTCTTCATTGGGCTCAGTGGGCACCTGGCATCCTCTGGCCGCAAGCCGGCACAAGTGCCTCGTGGCTGAGCCATTGCATCCTCCAGCGGTTGTAGCTCCTCGGTCTCTGCAAAACCCATGCGCCGAAGCCCGTTCTGATGCACCTTACCACGCTCGTGCTGGTGTAACTTCTCGATGTCCGGACGAACTTGATATCCCGATCGCACTCAAGACAGCGGTAGCACACCACACTAGTGAAGCTGGTTGCTGTTTCCTTGTAGATGTCGTTGCGATGCTCGCTCAGGAAGGCACGGAGGTTGAAGCGAGAGCCCGGTGCTTCGTCTTTCCGAGGACGGCCTTTGGCCCTTGGCTTCACTACTAGATCACTGCCTGGGGCCGGCTTGGGACGTCGCACCAGCTGGAGCTGTGATGGCTGTGGCGGAGCCTCCGGCATGCTGCTTGCCGACGCAGTTTGCAAAGCCGCCACTTGCTCTGCACTTGCAGCCAACTCAGCTCGCAAGTCTTTGCCCGTAGGTTTCTGCACACACAAGGACGAGTGTGGTGTCGCCACTGCCTGCAGGAAGCCAATCCAATGTCCAGCCCCACAACACTCCTGCTCCTTCATGTGTACCCGCTGGAACGATGTATGGCTGATGCGCTCGAAGCCGTAGCAAAGCCTTGCTTGTGCAACTCCTTCGTGGCCTCCTGGGCAGGCTTCGGCTGCTTGGTCTGTTTGTTGGCAGGGGCATGCCTGGAAGAAGCCAGCCGGGACGGCCTCATGCCCTTCTTGACGGGCGGGGAGTGCCTTGAGGAGCTCTCTGCCTCATCTGTCTCAAACGCATCGCGAGGTCCCTTGCGCTGTGGTGTGTGTGTGTGTGTGGCTCCTCGTTGTCGTCATCCCCGTTGTCGTCATCTATGAGCCCAGCCGGAGCATGGAGAACGCCCAACTCCCGTTTCGCCTCGCACCCTAAGCGCTCAGCTCCACCCATGCCACCGGTGTCCTTCTATGCTCTGGGCTGCTTCGTTTCGCAGTCCGGCACTTGGCTCGAAGCATGGGATAGTCTCTGACGCCTTTCTGGGGCTTCCGGAGAACCACTCTGCTTGACCTTGCCATCGGCGATCAAGCTTTGCACGTCCTCCGTCCCAAGCTCTATCCTTGCGGGCAACTCCCCGCTCTCTCTCAGAGCCCTCAAGATGCAGCCGGACGTAAGTATGACTCTGCGTCCACAGCTCCATGCATCAGTCTGTCAAGATACCTGGGCATCTACTAGAGTAGTCGGCTGGCACAGCCAGCCTCTCTCCTGCAGGTGCAGCAGGATGGCAGTGCGTGATTGCGACAGGTGGCATCTGGCAGTAAGTCACACTTGTCCTCATGTTCCATGCTACAACCGTAACGACACCCGCTGACACCTTCAGAAAGTTCAGCATGCTCTCTGCCGGCTGACGGAACGTCTGGGACAGCCCCTTCGTAAGCAGCGGTAGCACATCGGACCCATGTACGGCGGCACCTGATTGCGAAGGTTCAGGCCGGACACCTGGCCCCTGAAGAGCTAACAGACACTTCTCTTCGAAGGGTGGTCGCGCTGTCTCTTCCTCCAGCTCCGGACAATCACCTACAGTGGGCGGTCCGGTACAAAAGCCATAGATCTCTGCGTGCAGCTTCCAGGAGTCCGGGGCCTGCCTCAGCGCTTCACTTGCGTCGTCGCCAGCCCTGCTTCGATGGTCCATCACATCCAAACTGCACCACGCCCGAGTGGCTCAAGGAGTGCCGCATGATGGCCACGAACTCCAAGTGCCTCTGTCACAGCTTCCGGCGAAAGGCAGTGTCGGAAGATGCCCTCGCGCAGCCGATGTGGAAAACTTTTCCTCGACACAGCAAGCAGCTCGTTCCTAGAGTTGTAGCCGGGATTCTTGCACATCAGGTGTCCCTACGCATGACGAGGCGCAGCCGCTTCTTCGCAAGATTAGAGTCCAACATTTCTTCCAACAAAGACAGAAGTGATCTGCCCAAAGGGTGTGGCCCCTCTCGGGCCCCACCAATTCCTGCTTCGGGCCAAAGACAAAGCCGAAGTCCAGCAAACTGGCCAACAGAACTGCTTGCCTTGTGCTACTTCTCCATTGCCACCAGCCCACGAAAGAAGAACCGGTCTGGATAGAAGGGGCCTCTGCGTTTGGAGCCCCTGCCACAGGAAATGTAGGGCCCCCACTCCCCCGCCGCCGGGCCGGATATTTGGGTCTGGATTCTAGCAAACTGGCCTCAGATCCACCACTGACACGGACTTAGACCATCCCGGCACCTTTGGCACGTCCAGCTCTGGATGGCGACATGGTCGCAATGCCGCCTATTGCTGCTTCACGCAGGTTCATGGCTACCGGACACGCGCCTTGGGGGAGGGCGCACGGAAGCTCTTAGGCACGCTTGGTCGGACTGGCACAGCCCTGTGGCGACTTCTTCGACTCTCCGGGTAATGTAGGGGATGTATGGGCATCCGTGGTCGGACTGTGCAAGCAAAGCTGTACCATAGACTTCTTCGACTCCCCGACAAAAGGGAGAGGGTGCGCTCATAGCAGACCAATGCACAGAGTAGGGCCAATCAGCCCACAGCCTGTACGACTGGCTCTCTCCCCAGGTCATGCACGAAATAACCCGATGTTTCTGCGGAGTCATGCTCTCCGAAGACGACCAGTCGGAGTCCTCCACCAGGACCAACCGGCAGACTGGCACCGTATGTTGTTGCTGGGCTCGAGCAGGAAGCACTGGACCCCGTGGTGCCAGAGATAGCTCTGTCAAGGGGGCCGCTCGTGTGGACCTGCAGGCTGCGCACCGGGTGACGGTGTCGTTGCGCTGTTCGATTAGGAAGCATTGGGGCGCGAAGTGCGACAGATAGCCGCTTCGATTTCGCCATTACTTCCAGCTCCTCTCCAAGCAACACTAGCACAGACAGCTCATGATGCGGGCGCTTAGGCCTTCGAGCCTGGACCTTCTGATCCTTTGGCTGTTCGGCACTTACCATGGTTGGTCCACCTTTGCTGGCCTCTGTTCCTTTCTTGGCTTTTGCATGGGAGTGTGTTGGACGACTGCAAGGCTTCGGTTGCTGACACAACGGATGTGGTGTCGGCCTCAATCACGCTAGCCTTGCTTTCTTCTGTCTGCAGCCACGGAGGTCGAGCACGGGATGAGTGTCCTAGGGGTGTTTTGGCATGTTTTGGCTGTGCAGGTTTCGGTGCCTCCTGCTCTTCCCGATCCTGTGGCTGCACGGCACTCGGCATGACTGGACGACTCTTAGAGGCATGCCTTTCGCTGACACGTGTGGCCTTTGCAGCATTGCTGTCTCCAGAGCTAGCAAGGCCAAAATGTGCACGAGGAGAGACTGCCATGTCGGACCATAAGATCGGAAGTGGCATTGCCATGGCATTATGTAAGAGTCTGGGGTTTGCATGGGGCGATCTAGGTGTGAGTGCGTCAATCTGGCATGCTGTCGAAATCTGTCAGATGTCTAATGTATGCCTGCACGGCCATGTCCGACTCGAAGGCAACATGCCTAAGTTGACAGGCAAACACCTACACATATTCACAACATCAGCTTGAATCTCCCGTACCCCAAAAAACACCGCTGCGATGTGATAGCTCGGCACTATATTAATATAGAATAGGAAACCCGAAGGCCTAACAAACATTTCCCTTCCGCCCACTCTCCCTTCTTTCTGCACTATCCCCCCTTTCTCTTTCCCTTTCCCTATATACTACTATATCATTCTATCCATGGTCCGGAAACAGGCCCCGACCAATTTTCGACTCCCCCCACCCCCACGGTAACAAAGTGGTTTGGGCCCGTGGCGGAAATTGTCCGGACCAGGGGTTAACCTGTTCCTGTTTTTATTCACCTTAACCCGTACCACCCAAGCCTAAACCCCGCTTNNGCTCTAAGCTTGAAGCAAAGCATAAATCACAATAACCAACCTACACCCCAAACCCTCCCTAAGCTCTTGTCGACTTTAAGCCCTTTAACTCTTAACCTTAAGCCCTAAACCCCAAACTCAAAAGCTTAAGCTAAACCCGACTAAACCCTAAACCCCAAAACCCCACAACCACACCACAGGGGGAAGAGGGACCCCACACCCCACCCACAAGAAAGGGGGTGGCATCCTGGACCATGGACCGGGGGGGGGAGGAGGGGGACCCGCGGAGCGCCTGACCATATATTATAAGGAGGGGGCCATCTCGTGGGTCAACTGCGTGGACATGAAGGAACGTTCGGTCCTGTCGAAAAGAAGCATCACCTTCCGATGCAATCGTCCACTTGGGTCCTGCTTGTCACCCCGTTTACTACGATGACACAGTATGTCCACGCCAAACTGCATAGCCAGCTGCGGTGCCAGGCACCCGAGTTTTTCCTTTCCGTTCAGTTTGCGAAGTACTGGTTCCACGCGACAATTCGACCTAGAATTCGGAAAAGCTAAGAATTCAGCCAGAAGGTTCGAGAGGTCTGGCCTGAGCTGAAACAAGTTGGATGCAGACCTAAGACGATGCAGGAGACGCATGGATAGTTCCCGGATCCCCAAACTGAGAACACTTACTTATGCCAAAGAAGCCCCTGAGCCCAAGCGAAAACCTGTCTAACCGAAAACCTAAAGCGAACACAGACTGTTGATCGAACACCGGCTCCGGGCAGAGTTTGTGTCGAGGGGGCCCTGCCACAACCGCCACGGCCGCCCGCTACCCGCCCCAGCCCGTGCCAACGGTGCTTCGGCGGATACAGGCTTATGCCGCATTTATGCCTCAAGCTTCGAGCAAAAACCAATGCTCTCGAGGATCACAAGTTGCCACAGCGACCCGACAGGTCAGTTAATGGTCTCTTTGTGGGGTTCACCGCGGCCGCGGTGAACCGTCCCCCCTGCTTCAAGCACAGCCCGTGCCGCACCACAGCCTTTGCAGTTCACCCTAAGCTCGGCGGGGGCATACGGCTACAGTCCTTCGGGTGCTTGTGCAAGAGCTCGCGTGAAAGTGCCAGCTTCTGCCACACCTGAATGCTTTGCAGGCTGTCACGTGAAATTTAGGAATACAGCTGGTGTGAACAAAGGCACGGGCAGAACCACGGAGGAACTCTGGAATGCCTTGCCGGATGAGTTCCTGGTGACGCCGCGGTGCTGACAAGTGTGCACAGGAGCCGAAACAACCTTCGATAAGGTTCCAGGCCTTGCATTTGTCGGGACATTTGGCTCGGAACCGATGGAAGTCGATGCCTTCGGTCTTCGTTCAGGCTTAGCAATCCTAAGCCATAGATGTGGACACCTGCGAGCTGAGGAGCAGATTACTCGCCATTGCTCCAGATGTTCTACGGGATCCAGAAGCTTCGAAACAGCCTCGACTTCTTGCTCATGCTCGGCATGATTCACTAGAATTCAATTCTGTCAGGCCTTGGTGTTCTTGCGCTCGTCCTGGAAACCAGCAGCGTTTCTCCTCCCAACTTCTCAACCTGGTAAACTGGTGTCCTCCTCCTCATCGGGTTCGGTCAGAAGACACAGGTTGCTTATTTGCCGATCGATCATCTATTTGTCTTGAGCCCAGGAACGACACAGATCCACAGAACGACTATTAAGCAAAAGCGGCGCAAGACTCAGTACACTTCGCAAACAGCACGAAAAATCGGCGTGTCGCACAGCTAGAGAGCAGAGTCAAGGCCGTGCAGTCGTGCAAGGGTGAAACGTCTCTCATTGCTCGGGTGCCGCATCATCTGCCTCCGAAGCGGCCACGAGCTCAACATCATGCAACAGCAATTGCATTTGACGTCGTGTGGCCGCCGCTGAGTGAGGCTGCCTTCTTCTCTTCGGATGGTTTTTTCCCTCGGACAGCAAAAGCCACCGACATCCAGACTGGAGTTGCGTGAGTCGCATTCTTGAGAGGGGGCTCACACGACAGTGCGATACGAGTTCTGCAGCCTGCGAGTATGTAGTTCCTGCAGTGTTTGCAGCACATGAGGGCATGCTAAGTGCAGATCCCATCGTGTTGTTCTTGAGCAAGTAGTATGCCAACCACTCCACAGGGTTCTCTGGGCGCTCCTTCAGACGACATTAAACGCTCATCCTTGGTCTGAAACGTGCAATCTGGCCTCGGCTACAGCATTCATCCCAGGAAGAAGAGTTGGCACGACATACCTGCCGTCCAGGTATTGGAACGCGATCACTTCGACGCCTAGACGTAGAAGCGCACGTGTCTAAGTACTGGCGAAGAGGAAGATCGTGCATTCCTGGTGCTGGTCGCTCCTTGTCAGGTACGGTGCCACGTGGATACTGAACAGTCAAAAACCACCTGCACTGCAATTCAGTGATATAGAGTGGAAGCATTCGCTTGCACACCGTCGGTCGTTTCCAGCCCGTCCAATCACGGCGTTGCGGTTAACTTGGCTAACTTTTCGTACTCCATGGAGCTCGATGCAACAAAAGCTTGCCGAGTAGGACCATGCGTCGGTGGGTTCTCTCTACCGTACAAACTCGGGCATAGCTTCTATGAGAATTGATACCTCTCAGGCCTTCCGTGCTTCCGGCATTGCGCATTGCGACTTCGTGGAATGCACTCTCCGATTTGCAGCACGGCTGGCCATGTGCAGGATACGTAACAGAAGTGTGCCATGAGCGCGTACGTGCCTTCAACGAGCCCTCATCAAAGCTGTCAACATTACAATGCGGATGCCGACTCGAATGCCTCCATTGCCAGCTTCTCAGCTGCGAGTCCTTCTCTTGGGTTCGGATAAGCCTGCAGCCAAGGCGAGGTCATACTAGTGGAAGGGACATGCATTGTGCTAATTATGTGCTAATTATGTTGGTGTCAGGCGGTGGGAGCAGCCGGGCAGCCCAGCTCTGAGTTTTGCCAGCTGCAGGTGCGGCAAGGACCCACCCGGGACAACCCGCATCGCTGCTATACGTGCCAGTCCCATGAGTTGCAAATTGCCAGGTCCCTCACCTGGGACTGCTTTGGTAACTCCCGCTCTGCCTGACAATTCAAAACTGTGAAGCTTCAGACAGCACTGTGCGAGCACATGCAACTTCATGCAACCTAATCGAACGTCCAGGACCTCGCCAGACATGCTGCAGCGGAGTTGCCGAGCCTGGTAAGTGCTTGCCGGCTCCGCTCTTCTAAACATCAGCAAAATTCGACACTCGCCTGGCCTGAAGCGCGCAGCTCGTCAAGCGACACCCCTCTCTCTGCGCTCCACTATATAAAGCTGCGAAGGCGACATGGTAGGTTATGAAGGTGCGACCCGCTCAACAACACATGGGTTGAAAATACGGGCCCAAGAGTGCTTGTGCCACTTTTTCCGTTGTGGCTGGCCGCATATGACCTAGGTCGCCGTCAGACGTTCCTTCAAGTGGCTCCGGCAGCACGTGGGCAATGTCCCAGGGGCCCTGACGAGACTGGCAGTACGAAAGCTCTCACCTGATAGACAGAGTGAAACAGCGACGACCCAAGCTCGAGATATGTCCAGCAAGCAACCCATAAAGACTGACTGCGCCCACAGTGGCATGTGTAATCTTTATCGTCCAAGCATCCGGTCTAAGCCGAAACGCTCGCAAGGTGACATTACAGTGGTTCAACAACACGGGGTCACGACTGCACTGCCTAAGGATTTGAAGGGGTTGGATCGAAGAAGCGAAGCACGGAACTCGACAGAAGCTCCTGGCAGTGTCAGGCCGCGACACAAGTGCCACTAGCGACGCGGCTCAGCCCGAATCCGGAATCCCATCTCGAAACCCTAATTGATCCTTCCTAATCCCTCATCTCATCCCGAAACCTAAGCCCCGGCACAAGTGCCATGCCCCGGCCGCATTGTGCCAGGCCTACACCTCACAGCTTCGCAGCTTACCCCCAGGCGATCCTTTCCATGCCCAATTATGAAGGTTACTGGATGCAGCACTTCCAGCCGTGCAGATCCAGGGTAGCATGTGCGCAGCATTTGTTGCGAGCTTCACTCGGGTTGCTATTCTAACGTAGCACCACCGAAGCACCACTATTTACGTGAATGGGATTTACGAGCAGTCAAACCACGCAGCATAAGCACATGCATCCGAAACAGCGGCCCCGATCTTTGAACTGACCATCCTCAAGAAAATTACGTGGGCAAGGGAGACCCTGCAGTGTGCCGTTGAGGGTACGAGCATCCACAAAGGTCCTGATTTGGGCCTCTGTGATTTTCCGGACCCAGCGGCTCAAAGAACATGATTCTCTTTGCTCCCGTAGGTGGGTGTACCGCTGATAGAGTACGTGCAATGTGGGATCTTCTCTCGCTCCAGCCTGAATCTCCGTCTTGAGGTTTTGCGCAGACAGGAATAGAACAGGACCTCACTCAGCTGGCTGCACAGTTGGGAGCTGAAAAACGCTGTATATAAGCCCAAAGCCCACAAATCCGATGAGGATCCCCGCCAGCACTAGAGAAACCTCGGCTGTTTCAAGACGTTTGATGCATTCCGAAATCCTAGTGGGACGTTCATGATATCCTGGGACACGGACCCCCGACTTGAAATCCAGTGCGATGGCAACCGCGAACAACAACGGCAGTACACAGGCCTGAGTCAATCTGAACAGCATAAGTGCAGAAAAATGCTACAGTAGGTGAAACGAGTGAACAACATCCAGCAGCTTTGACAGGTTTCTTCCACTCGCAGGGTTTACATATATTCCATTTTCTGGCCCATGCAACCCGATGCCAGGGCCTCTGCCGTCGATCGACCACAAAAATGCGGCAATGCAAAGACCTGATTTGATCTGGCTTTCAGGCAGTACCACGGCTGCACTCGATTCACGAGGGTGACGTCCGGCATGCTGCACAGCAGACATCTGCTGCGGCAAGAGACAATGCCTGCAGCTACGACCAAAAGTTTCTCATGCTATTTCTTTGTTGCCCACCACGCGAGTATCATTATCATTACTCGCTACATCCCATGCAAAACCCAACTTTTCTCGCCGCAAAAACAATGTTTTGCCAGGCATCCTATAATTGTAATGATGAAGTGCGCGGGCTGATGGCTAACGGCGAGAGTGGATCGCCTCCATGGCGAAGCTCATGAAAGCGAAGACCTGCGATCGCAAGTCTTTTGCAACTTTGATCGTCTGTGGCTCAGCAAGATGCCTCAAGAGGCGTCCGCAGCCTAGATGCCAGTATCATGGCGGACAGCACCGATGCGTTGAGGGCTATGGGTCCACCAGGTCTGGCACGGTGCAACAAGAATGTGCTGAAAGAGGTTTGTAAACCTGTCAGATGGGCAGGAACAGCTCCTGCTGACAGGACCAAACCGATGCTGACGACCCATCCTGCTAGAGCCGGAGGCAAAAGGAAGGATTGAGGGCTGCAGGTGAAGCTTCCAAGGCACCGACACCGTAATCGTACAGTATGACATGCAGCAGGAGCAAGCCACAAGCAAAGATGCCAATGGTGTCATCGCCTGGGCGTGGAAGTTCGCCAGGTGATCGTTGCGTCAGTAGGTGTGTGTGTGTGTGTGCAACTCCTGTTTCGAAGGATATAATGGTAGAGCAGTTTCCAAGCAGCTTGTCAATTGAACGGGGACACAGCATGTCACTGGGACTGTG